TTTGTAGCTTCTGTGTCGGAAGCCTGTGCTCTTGTTTCCGGTCGTCTTTGTCCTTCCCCAATTTTCATAACTTTGCATTTACTGGGATTAAATTTTTGTAGCCTCGTGTCAGCCCAGTGCTCATCCATTTGTAGTCTTTCCTAGGCTGCTCCTGTCTGTATTCTTTTCATTAGTTTCACATCTACGAATAGGGGCACCTCTGTCTCTCTTCTGTCATATCGTGTACATACACAAGAAAAAGTACTGGTCGAAGTACGGACTTGTGAAGCCCCACTTGTCACATTTGCCTATTCTGACACTTCCTCTTAGACATTAACTTATTTCTTTCCTGTGAAGTATTTCTTGCCTTCCCTGTTATTGCTGCCTGCTCCATCGAGCTTTTGTTCCAATCTCTTGTGTAGTACTGTATACAACGTTTTCCTACAGACCAAAAATATGTACTCTACCCATCCTTCTCTCTGTCCTGCCTAACTTTCCATACTTTATCATTGAGTTACAGAAGATTGGTAAGACAGGATTTACCATATCTAAGATCGTGCTGCTGCTGCTGCTTGTTTATGAATCCACTACTCCTGATAATATTATCCATAACCTTACATATTGTGTATGTGTGTGTACTCGCCTATTTGTGGTTGTAAGGGTCGTGTGTGTATGTAATTATTTGTTTGTAATTGCCTCTTTTAAACTTGCTAGGATGAAGCTGTACGTTGTGGCTCCTCTCGTTGTTTTGAACGAGTATTGTGATTTATGTAATGTTAACTTGTGAGTCCATGTATAGTTCAACGTCACCTAACTCTCAATTTCTTTAATACACTTTCCCTGTTTAATTGTATTCTGACTTCTGTATAGCTCAGGTGGATGTTGATCCTTCATCTGTGTCTCCTGGTGCTGGACCCTGCCATGTCCTCCTAACCTTTGCTCGCCTTTAAATAATTTGTATATTATAATTGTATCTCCTCTTGATGTATGGTCTTCCCTGATGTGATTTACGTACAAGTATTCCTCTGCATATATATCTCGCAGTTCATTTTATGTTTGGCTGGGTGTGGGTTGTACACTGGTGCTGTGTACTCCAGACCCCTTCTTACAATTGTCGTTTGAAGTAATTGGAAAGATTTGTGAAGGTCATTAGGTTTGGTAGTCTGGTATATGTTATCTATGTGTGGTTGATATGAGAGGCTGGGCATGATGCCCACTCTCAGCCTACACTTCCATACCTTCCTGGGTTGATGAGGTTTCAAGCCTATCAACTACACGAGGATCATTGAATATTTTAATCCCTGAAGTATGGATTAAACTCTTAGTGTATAGTCACTGGGAAGCACACTTCTCAGTGTATATACACTGAGAGACACACCTTTCAGTGTATATACACTGAGAGACACACCTTTCAGTGTATATACACTGAGAGACACACCTTTCAGTGTATATACACTGAGAGACACAGCTTTCAGTGTATATACACTGAGAGACACAGCTTTCAGTGTATATACACTGAGAGACACACCTTTCAGTGTATATACACTGAGAACACACCTTTCAGTGATATACACTGAGAGACACACCTTTCAGTGTATATACACTGAGAGACACACCTTTCAGTGTATATACACTGAGAGAGACACCTTTCAGTGTATATACACAGAGACACACCTTTCAGTGTATATACACTGAGAGACACACCTTTCAGTGTATATACACTGAGAGACACACCTTTCAGTGTATATACACTGAGAGACACACCTCTCAGTGTATATACACTGAGAGACACACCTTTCAGTGTATATACACTGAGAGAGACACCTCTCAGTGTATATACACTGAGAGACACACCTCTCAGTGTATATACACTGAGAGACACACCTCTCAGTGTATATACACTGAGAGAGACACCTCTCAGTGTATATACACTGAGAGACACACCTCTCAGTGTATATACACTGAGAGACACACCTCTCAGTGTATATACACTGAGAGACACACCTCTCAGTGTAAATATTTTCTCCTGAAAAGAGAGGTGCACTTAAAGCTTTTACGGGGACAGTGTTTCGCTCAGTGTAGAACTTTATTAAGTTTAGCTTCGGCCATAAGAGATATATAGTATAATAACGAAGCTTGTCTCCAAACCTGGTGGCAGGGGTGTGAACATACATGCATAGATAAACCTGTGTATATATATATACACATATATACATAGGGAGGTACCACCTCTAGAACTGTCCTGGGGACCCTCATCCTCAGAGAAAAGAATAAACTTGCTTCAGGGAAAACTCAAGGTTCTCCCTGAAGCTGTTTGAGAATTTTCTCCTACCAACCCCTATATTTAATATACATTTTATTTGAAGACAAAATACAATGACAAAACATTCATAAAAATACAATAGAAAGTAAAACAACCTAGATAACAACTCAGAATTACATCTCGAATACTTCGTCCAGCTCCCCGGCGGTGGGCCGCGTGCCCACAATGCTGCAGGCATTTCCTGTCTGGATCGTGACACTGAGTCTCCGAAAGAGGAAGCTGGTCGCCCTGTGATCCTTGTTTCTATGATGAGCTTTTCATCCAGCTCTTTGAGGAAATTTAGAGCACACTTGCCCCATGTTCCAAGGGTCTCCGACCCTATTGAGATGAAGTAATAGCAGGGGGAAGGTCTTCATATTTGCGGATCTTCTGGGCCTTTTTATGGCTGGCAGCTCCACCCGCTTCAGCTACGGAGTATGGCAGGTAGTAGGTGTCTGCCAATGTGGTGGCACAGGTGTAGTCCCAGGCAATCTGCTTTCCATCCTTCCAGGGTAGCATAGTGGTTCCATCAGGACATTTTTGACTTCCGTCAGACCTCTGCACTTGGGGTTCCCGTTCAGATGGGCAGCGGGCTGTGGCGAGGCTTCTGTTTATGATGTCGTTGACCTCCTCATGTCTGGCATACTTCCCTTCTGCTGTGTGACACACGAGACCATGAAGTCCGAATTGATCAGCTGTTCTCCTGATGGGGGGATGGGGCGGCTAGGCGAAGAGCAACACCAATCCGAATGGCCTGTGGGTCGAGTCGAGTGCCCAGGGAGGAATTGGGAACAGCTAGAAGGAAATCTGAGTGTGGTGCCTTCACCGCCAGGAGACGAGCTTTGTCCTTTCCTGAAGCGTTGGAGAGCGTTGTGTTGGCGATTTTTTCCCTGATCGGTTTGTCCCAGTGAGACTGTTTGTGCTCTTTGGGAGGAGCTGGTCTATTGGAGGAGTCTGCAAGGGTGTCCCACCGCATCGCTGCTTCAGTAAACCTGGGGTCTTGAGCTCCTACCACGTCTCTCAAGCGTTCGGGGACAATCTTCTTGACTAGTGCACTGGAAGCCAAACACGAAGACAAAAAAGCACGTAAAGGAACATACGTTGCTTTGCGCACCCCTATACCTCCCAGTCGCACTGGGAGGGTTGCCTGATCCCATTGCTGATCCTCTAGTGACAGGTTCAGGGCCTTCTTAAAAGTTGATCTCAGGTGTGCGTCTTATTCGTCGAGTGTTGGGTTGTCAAAAGAGGGTGCATAAATTTTACTTACAATATACATACAATAATCCACATATATGTACACACGCAAATATGCAGAAAAAGTATATACATACAAGCAAACATATGCAAATACATAAACATATTCATGCATACATTCAAGAAATAAATACATGTAGACATTTTCTCACATATACATACGCAAAAATGCATACAGTGTAGATGCACAGTCATACATCTGCACACCCGCTCATATTTATGCACACGAATATATATATATATATATATATATATATATATATATATATATATATATATATATATATATATATGTCGTGCCGAATAGGTAAAACTTGCGATTTTTGCTTAAATAGCAACGCTCTTCTTGCCGAATAAGGCAAGCAGAAATTTGTGTATGTAATAATTTCGCAAAAATCATTCTGAACCTAACGAAAAAAATATATTTCATTGTGTTCGTTTATTATTAAATTACTGAAAACTTATCTAAAATATATTTAGTTGAATTAGGCTAAATTAAATTGTACTTGTTATAATAAGTTTACTGAGGTTGTTTTGGTACAGTATTATAAACGTTTACATTAACATAAATTACAAAGATATATCTTTAAGCATATAAGAGAAAATTTTAGAATGAACTTAATTTTAAATGAATTCTTGATAATTGAACAGTTTTACCTATTCGGCACGACATTTTATATATATATATATATATATATATATATATATAGTATATATAATATATATATATATATATATATATATATATATATATATACGTACATGTATATACATGTATGTGTGTAATATATATTATATATATATATAATTTATATTATCATTATGTATATATGTATATATGCCCATGTACACATACAAACGCACATGTACTTATACACACACACATTTGTAAGTATACATCAACACACGCATACATACAAAAATATCTGTTAATACACAAATATACACTTCATACATGCACAAACATACATGTACATATATGTACATTATATGAAAATACACATACACACAATTTTATATGCATAAAAATACACGTATACACATTTTTATATTTTGCTGCGTTGCAGTTTTATGACCACTCTGCACTATTCATTTTCCATGCATTGAGGTAGAGAAGGCAGGGCTTGTGGAATACGGGGATACCTTTCTCCGACATTCATGTAGTTTACTCTGTGCTAACCTTGTACGTGCGTGTGTGATGTGTGCGTATGCATCTATATGTGATTGCAGTTCCTGGCCCTGCCTCTTCACTGGTCGCTACTAGGTCCACTTTCCATGCTCCATGAACTTTATTGTATTTGTTCTTAAATCTATGTATGGAACCTGCCTCCACTCCGTCACTCTCCAGATTGTTCCACTTCTTGAGAACTCTATGGCTGAAGAAATACTTCCTAACATCCCTGTGACTCATCTGTGTGTGTGTGTGTGTGTGTTTGTTTTATTTATCAATGTCTTTCTTTCCCAGGACGCCCGAGGCCTACAGTACTCTGGTTCCAGAACACGCACCTTCTGGATAGCCACATGGAGTCTGAGGTTTCGGAAAACTCCGTTGAAACCTTCAGTAGGGTTGGAATGACGACCCTTTCCCCGGTACCCCCGACACCACCAGTCTACCGTGAAGGACCCTTCAGTGTTCTCACTCTGGCGACCACCACAGCCCTGGCGACACTCGGCAAGAAGAGGTTCAATACGCTCACTTTAGCCAGGCCTACGGAAGCGCCAGCCTTCGGAGGAGAGCCATACAACACGCTGACTCTGGGGCCTCTGAGCAGGAAACACCTCAAGATGCTACTCACCTGTGAAGCGTCCAATAACAACATCACCTTGCCCATCTCCATCGCTGTCACCCTTGACATGAACTGTAAGTCCCCCGTGACACGTACAAGTCTTTACTGATGGTGTGCAAGGTAGTCTGTGATTAACCTTGTTTTGTGCTTATTCTCACTGAGCTGTGACTCCTGGGGCTCAGCTCTACTACTTTTTGTTGAGGCAACACCTGTAGCTTGTTAAAGTTATCTTGTGGTATCTGAAGTTTCTCATGAATTTTTGTCTTATAATCTTAGTTCTCACGTATCTTTGTAATATCTTACATTTCTTATGTATCCTTGTCTTGTAGTACCTTAGTTTTCATGTATCCTTGTAGTATCATACATTTCTTATTGTATCCTTGTTTTGTAATATATCTTACAGTTGTCATGTATACTTAGAGTATATTTCTCTTCGTGGTCACAGACCGGGCCGCGGGGGCGTTAACCCCTGGAACCCTCTCCAGGTATTCTCATGTATCCTTGTTTGCTTCGTCAGTTTTGTTTTATCTCCAAACATTAATATGTTTGTGGTGACAGGTGGCATCACAAATATGTACTTTCGTATATGATGAACAAAGCCAGATATAAGGCAGACATATCAACTATAGTGATTCGAAATGGGTAGTCGATATAATGTGAATGAGACTTGAGAAGGTTTTGGTGGCTAGTGCATTCCACAGACGAGGTAATTATTCCAGGCAGCCCATGCCTCCCAGAAAGTGTCGGCTACCTCAGCACTTCTGCTTGACCAAACCAGCTAGAGTTGTCAACAAAATCTTTTCAGAAAGTGTCAGCTAGGACATCATTCCTGCATGACCACGCCAGGTATGGTCGTCAACCAGCCCTTCCCAAAAAGTGTCCATGCTTCCCAGAAAGTGTCGGCTACCTCAGCACTCCTGCTTGACCACACAAGCTAGGGTCGTCAACAACCCTTCCTAGAAACTGGTCAACTACTCAACCTACCAGCTTGACCACACCAGCTAGGGTGTCAACCAACCACTCGGTGACTCTGGCCCACAATGCTGTCAGCTGGCTGAGATGACTTTCTGGATCATGGATTAGTGTAGTAAATACAAAGCAAAGTACATCACTACAAAGAACAAAGGTTGGCAGCAGTGCAAGTTGCATCCAGTTGATGCACCGGTCAGCACGTGTTCATATGCGGAACCAATAGTATAGGTAGAACTGGTAGAACATACCTCCACTACCTGGAGTTTACCTGGAGAGAGTTCCGGGTCAACGCCCCCGCGGCCCGGTCTGTGACAGCCTAGGTCAGTGTCCAGATGCACCCACACCAGTCGACTAACACCCAGGTACCCATTTTACTGATGGGGAACATAGACAACAGGTGGAAAGAAACACGTCCAATGTTTCTACTCTGGCTGGGAATCGAACCCAGGCCCTCACCGTGTGAAGCGAGAGCGTTAACCACCAGGCCACCAGCTGGGTACTGTTCCTAAGTGTGACTCTTCTATGTATAAATACGCATTAGTATGTGAGTGAAGCAGGTCCATACTGGTGTTAGTGACCTCTGGTGAGTGAGTAGGTCACGACTGGTGTTAGTGACCTCTGATGAGTGAGTAGGTCACGACTGGTGTTAGTGACCTCTGGTGGGTGAAGCAGGTCACAACTGGTGTTAGTGACCTCTGGTGAGTGAGTAGGTCACGACTGGTGTTAGTGACCTCTGGTGGGTGAAGCAGGTCACAACTGGTTAGTGACCTGGTGAGTGAGGCAGGTGAAGACTGGTGTTAGTGACCTCAGATGGGTGAAGCAGGTCAAGACTGGTGTTAGTGTGACCTCTGGTGAGTGAGGCAGGTCATAACTGGTATTAGTGACCTCTGGTGAGTAAGACGGGTCAAGAATGGTGTTAGTGACCTTTGGTAAGACAGGTCAAATCTGATGTTAGTGACCTGTGGTAAGACAGGTCAAGACGTGTTAGTGACCTGTGGTGATTAAGACAGGTCAAGACGAGGAAAGATGATATTCTCAGTTCTTACACCAAGGTATACTTGGTGTCACTGGCGGCACCTCACTAAGATGTCGTTCTCATGAGACTTAGCCAACACTGATGCAAGGAACCCTTCAAGAGTGAAGGGCTCTTGATCCAAAGAATTGGAGCTGCCCTCCCTTGGTTGATATCTGATTTTCCGTTATCCCCCAGGCGGTGTATGACCCTGGGGGGTGTATGACCCTGGGGGGTGTATGACCCTGGGGGGTGTATGACCCTGGGGATGTATGAACCCTGGGGAGTGTATGACCCTGGGGGGTGTATGACCCTGGGGGGTGTATGACCCTGGGGGGTGTATGACCCTGGGGGTGTATGACCCTGGGGGGTGTATGACCCTGGGGGTGTATGACCCTGGGGGGGTGTATGACCCTGGGGGGTGTATGACCCTGGGGGGTGTATGACCCTGGGGAGTGTATGACCCTGGGGGGTGTATGACCCTGGGGAGTGTATGACCCTGGGGAGTGTATGACCCTGGGGATGTATGACCCTGGGGGTGTATGACCCTGGGGAGTGTATGACCCTGGGGGGTGTATGACCCTGGGGAGTGTATGACCCTGGGGAGTGTATGACCCTGGGGAGTGTATGACCCTGGGGGGTGTATGACCCTGGGGGGTGTATGACCCTGGGGGGAGTCGTATAAGAATAATATCTGGTGTTCCTCTGAGTGTTCTTATTTATTGCTCGGTAATTATGTTGTGTGTTGCCAGTATACTGTAACTTTATTAATATTAAGCGAATAAATGGTTAATAGTTGTTATAATAACCAGTGTTGGTGACGCGAGTGATGCTTATTACAGCCTCGTGTACCAGGCTTATACCCTACCCTGCCCAACCCTACCCTACCCTGCCCTACCCTCCCCTGCCCTACCCTACCCTCCCCTACCATACCACTCTACCCTCCCCTAAACCCCGCCCTGCCCTGCCCACCCTCCCTACCCTACCCTCCCCTACCCTACCCTACTCTACCCTACCTTACCCTGCCCCGCCCTACCCTACTCTACCCTACCCTACCCTACTCTACCCTACCCTGCCCTACCCTCCCCCGCCCTACCCTGCCCTACCCTACCTCCTCTACCCTCCCCTACCCTCCCTCCCCTCCCTACCCTGCCCTACCCTACCCTACCCTACCCTGCCCTGCCCTACCCTCCCTGCCTGCCCTACCTGCCTACCCTGCCCTGCCCTACCCTGCCCTACCCTACCCTGCCTGCCCTGCACTACCCTACCCTGCCCTACCCTACCTCCCCTCCCTACCCTGCCCTGCCCTGCCCTACCCTCCCTACCCCCTACCCTACCCTACCCTACCCTACCCTTCTATACCCTACCCTACCTACCCTACCATCCCCTACCCTACCCTACTCTCCTCCTCCTACCTACCCTCCCTCCCCTACCTACTCTACTCTACCCTCCCCTACCCTCCCCTACCCTACCCTACCTCCCTACCCTACGCTTCCTCCCCTCCCTACTCTACCTAACCCTTACTACCATAACCTAACCCTACCCTACCTACTCTACCCTACCCTACTCTAACCCTACCCTACTCTACTCCTACCTCCATACTCTGCCCTACCCTACCTACTCTAACTAACCTACCCTATTACCCTACTCTACCCAAACCACCATACTCTACCTACCTCCCTACCCACCCTCCTACCTACTTATTACCCTACTCTACTACCCTCGCCCTACCCTACTCTACCTACCTACCCTACCATACCCTACCATAACCCAACCCTACCCTACCATACCCAACCCACCTACCTACGCCCACCCTACCCTACCCTCCTACTACCAACCCTCCCATCTCTTGTCTAAACGTTCTCAATATCCATCCTATCATTTTCTTTGCACTTGTGATCGTGGCACTGTTGTGATTATTGAAAGTGAGATCCTCAGACATTACTACTCCCAGGTCCCATACATTATTTTTCCGCTCTATTGTATGACTAGAGTTTGTAGTATACTCTCTTCTAGTTATTGTCACTCCAATTCATGGTTTTTGTGTATGTTGATGTATGGAAATAGACTGTTAGGTTGGTACCATAAAGCGCCATTAATTCGAGTTGGAGAACTGTAATAGACTTCAGTGGCGCTACTCTGGCCATTGAAGAGACTAATACGTTTCCCCCGGTCTGGCTAAAATATGACGCAGCACCGTACGTTACTGTGGATAAGTCACAGAATACATTCATTGTGTAGGTCTTATCTTCCTGGCCTACCCACCTGCGAAACTTACTCTGGTAGAGTTGGTTGAATTCTACGACAGTGTCGCTCCAAGCCGACACATTTCTTAGAGCTAGCTCTCGTCCCATGCTTGCTTCAGTTTCCACACTCGCTGGATAAGTATTCTACCCTTTATAGTGACGGGGGTAAGCAGTCGTAGGAGACCAAATCATTAATATAGCATAAAAGCCCGAGCATATTACTACTGCCATGAACGTCAGCATCAGGAAAATCTAATTTTGTGATTTCTTTTAACGCGGCTGAATTCGTATTCGAGCCTCTGAGTGGCATGTTGGCACTGATGATTCCCTTGTTTGCCCCTACATGAAGGACCCAACGATGTGACCACCTGCTGTGGTCAACAGAAAAGCGTCATTTATGGTTACTATTCCATGCGCAAAACTATTGCAAGTCACTACCAGTGATCAGATCAATAGGGACTACACAATGACTGGAACTCAGGACCAGCTAGTTCTACATTAGCCTTCCTCAGAGCAACAATGGTGTCTTGCAACCCTTTCATTGGCACGGTAGGACAATTGATCCGCCACTACAGCATGAATCATCGAGTGTAAGTCCCCAAGACAAATAGTGAATCTCGACCGGTGGTATGACAGCTTTTCAGGAGTGTGGAAGAATCCAGCAATATCAGGTTGCATCGTGCAGTGAGGTGCGTCGCTTAGTTGAATCAACGTGCCTCTATTTATAAAAGATCTCTGAGCGCCTTGATCGAAGAGCGTAATAGCCATGATTTGTGTTGCCTATTTAGTAACTTGAGATACAGGGGGGACAGCTAGTGCAGATAACACCTGTCTCAACGTGCTTTCTCTTTTTTTTATGGCGTAGAGCATAGAGCTCTGAGCGGCCCCATATTTTGCAGTCACTGAGACGAGAGCTTTACCCTGTCTACTTACGTTTCCTATGGGGGTCTGAAAACTAGGGTATAAAGTGGTGTTATAATAATCTCGGCATGTAAAAGACTTCAGATATTTGGTGTTATAAACACCTTCAGAATGTTTGCCAAGGCATTTGGGACAGAGTTTGATCTGCTGTGTTCGCTGTCTGCTAGCGGCTGTCATCTTGTACTCTATCTTGGAATGGCTACTGTCGTCTTGTGCTCTCTGCAAGTGGCTACTGTCGTCTTGTGCTCTCTGCGAGTGGCTACTGTCGTCTTGTGCTCTCTGCGAGTGGCTACTGTCGTCTTGTGCTCTCTGCGAGTGGCTACTGTCGTCTTGTGCTCTCTGCGAGTGGCTACTGTCGTCTTGTGCTCTCTGCGAGTGGCTACTGTCGTCTTGTGCTCTCTGCGAGTGGCTACTGTCGTCTTGTGCTCTCTGCGAGTGGCTACTGTCGCTTGTGCTCTCTGCGAGTGGCTACTGTCGCGCCGATTGTGTGCTCTTTGCGAGTGGCTTCTGTCGTCTTGTGCTCTCTGCGAGTGGCTACTGTCGCCTTGTGCTCTCTGCGAGTGGCTACTGTCGTCTTGTGCTCTCTGCGAGTGGCTACTGTCGTCTTGTGCTCTCTGCGAGTGGCTACTGTCGTCTTGTGCTCTCTGCGAGTGGCTACTGTCGTCTTGTGCTCAGTCTGGGAGTGGCTACTGTGCCCCGGTGTCTGAGGAAACTCAGGGGGACTCGTG